CACACTAGATGATTAGATGTGTATAGATGATTAGATGCAATTTTGATGTATAGAAAAAAGTTTTTGATCCAATATGTATAGATGCAAGAATTTTGACATTTGAGAGGAATTTTGACATAGATGTATATTAAAAAAGTTAAGGAATTTTATTCTTTTAGTTATACAAATGTTAGATGAATTAGATATATAAATTTTAGATGCATGTTTTTTATATACTTTTAGTTATAGAAATGTTAGATGAATTTTTAGATATATAAATGTTAATTAGATGATTAGATGTATATATGTCAATGTTTGATCATATGTCAAAGTTTGATTTTGACATATGCAACATTTGATCATATGTCAAAGTTTGATCATAAGCGGGTTAGCAGGCGGCGCGGGTAGGAGTTGGTGGGCCGCTGGGGTAGCGCGGGCGATAGGGATCGGGCGTGGCTGGGTAGCGAGCGGCAGGGAGAGGAAGGACCGGTGGCCGACGTGGATGGCGCGCGGGCAGCGGCGGCGGCGGCCGGCTCAGGAGGCGCATGGGTGGCGGCGGCGGTGGCGGAAGACTAGAGTTAGAACCCAAAAACTGATATACATGTATGTTGTGGGAATTACATGTTGTATTCCTCAAGTGCAAACCTACGTATGTATGATGTACAGGAGTGGGTCACAACCTCAACTATACAAGGCAACTAGGAGGTGGACCCAATACACAGATATGCACAACACATACACTCAACAAAGAATTTGACTCTTGAGCCATTATTTGTTTGAATGCCAGATGGGGCCGTGCGTTTGGGCACTTGGAGACGAGGAGATCCTTGAGAATGTGATATCTAACAAAAGTGATGATGCGAGGCTTTGGCTGTTCTGGTTGTTTGACACGATGAACCAACATGACCTTGCATGGGTTCTTATTACTATGTGGGCAATTTGGTGGGCTCGACGAAGAGCGATACATGATGATGAGTTTCAGAGCCCCATGTCGACAATGTGCTTTGTGAACAAGTACTTGCAGGACCTGAAGATTGCTACAACAAGGACCCCTGCTGGACAGACACAGGATACGAAACCAAGAGCTCATAGATGGATTCCACTTGAAGTAGATGCGGCAAAAATCAATGCTGATGGTGCTACTTCCCGCCAAGGTACGATGGGAGCTTCAGCCGCTGTTTGCAGGGATCAACATGGCAACTACTTTGGAGCCTCTGTGGTGGTATTCGATGGTCTAGTCGACGCTCCTTGCCTGGAAGCTCAAGCATGCAATGAGGCTCTTGCCCTAGCACAGGACCTGCTTCTTACACATGCGATAATAGCGTCTAACTGCTTGCAGGTTATTCAAGACATTAACGGAGCTTCGAGCTCTTCTTCTTATGCTTTAGTTCTGAATGAGATTAGAGATAGAGTTACAGATTTTGTAAACATTACTTTTTGGTTTGAAAACAAGGAGGCAAACTTTGAAGCAGATGCCTTAGCGAAGGCTGCTTCGTCAATCCCTATTGGGCGCCACTTGTGGCTAGGGAACCCATCAGACATTATTTGTATTCCTTCTGTAATTGATGAATAAAATCCCTAGTTCAGCTAAAAAAAACACTAGGCGGTGGTGCAGTGCGCTGCAACGGGCTGGTACGCTAGGGCGGGTGCCTCGGAAGCAGCATGGTGGCGGTGGCTCTGGGAGGAGTTGCGGTTCAGCGTTGTTTGGGTGGCAACTAGTGTTGCGGGGCGGCATTGTTGTTTCTGGTGCCGTGTTGCTGGTCGTGTAGGTGGCAGTGGCATGGCCGGTAGCCCTGGATTGTTGGTGGTGATGGTGTGCGGTGCGTCGGCTTGTGCTCGCCTTCGTCGTGTTGTTGTGGCTTGATTGGCAGGCTCTGCCGTGGGTGCTTTTGGTATGGCTGGTCTTTTTCCCGAGGTCTGGAGGGGCTGGTGTGGGTCGCTCTAAGTAAAAGCTTCAGTCTTTGACAGGGCTAGATGTCGGCGCGGATGTTGCCCATATCATTAGATTCATCATAAGATATAGTTTCATATTTTATATGTTTGGTGTTGTAGATACAAATAGTTTTCATTATAAACTAGTTCAAAGTTTGACTTTAAAAAAAATCTAAGCATGCATGCAGAATACTCCCTCCATTTCATAATGTAGTGCATATAGGTCAAGCAGTAACATGTTGCTACTTCATACCATAACCCAACTACCGATCTACATGTCATGGCCGTCTTGTTGTTCTCCTGTTCGTTATTGCCTATGCTTGTGTTGTCTGTAGTAGCCGCCGCTGCAGGTATGAGCAGATTGAACAAGCGACATACAGACGGGGCTGGTGCACTAACCAAGTGCTATCAGGAACAGTAACTACAGAAGACAAATCCGGCTGCCGATGCGATGTCTGAAATAATCCATACCAAATTAGTAATCATGTTCAAGTTCAGTTACTGAATTTGTTTGTGCAGTAGCACGTTCTGTCCATCAGTTACTTGGGAATGTCTCAGGTTCAATCGTTCTGTGCGCTGAAGATTGTTCATACCCCTATCCTGAAGAAAGAACACCTATTGTTGGTGCAGTCCAGAGATACACACATATATATTGCTCACTCTCACTGGCTCACGTTAGTTCGCATATCAAAAAAATGGCTACTAAATACGTGATATTAATTCCGTAAACGCTTGAGATATAATATTTTCCTTGCTATATGAATTGAACTAAAATTACTTGAGAGCTCTGCATCCAAAGTTCCCCAAACTGACGAGCGACGATGTAAAAGAGAAAAACAGAGATTTAGTAGTACTAGAGAGCAGAGTCACGGTGGTGGCCGTCTGATCTGCTCGACGATTGGTGCGAATTACACAGGCTGGCTGTGGCAGCTACTCTGCTTCTTCAGCCTTGGTTTCAGTTCGTCTCGTGAGAAGACACCACCAAATGACGCAGGTGAGAAGGGTGGGTGATTCTGCCAGCGGGAGGTTGCTGCCTGCTCGGCCCGGCGTCGTCGTCCTATATCAGGCAGAGGTTGAGTCATGGTCTCTCGATTTGTATACCTCGTACATGGTGGTCACGGTTGAAAAATCAGAGCAGTAGGGAACATCTTATACTCTTGAGCACAACAACATTTCTTGCTTTCCATGCATATTTTTCGACAAAGAGAATATAGTAATATCGTGAAGATACCAATTACACCCGGTCTCTCTGCTTTCCATGCATATAGCCCAAGCTAATTAAAGTAACTGCTCCAACAACAGTTAGATGTATAAAATCTCAAGTAATCTTCACAACTGAACCACACTGACGAGCTTGGTCTCCGGGTCACGGTCGGCGCGATGGCGAGTGCGACACGTCGACAGCTGGATGGATCTGCGGGATTCCATCTGTGTCTGGTCCTTGACAACCCGGGCAACTCCGGGGGAAACCCTAGATCTCCATGGGATCGAGCAATGGCGGTGCTCTTGCGCCGTAGTCCCTCTTCAGGACATCGTTTTGGAGTTTGCTACGGTCGAAGGACCAGCGAGGCCGGCAGCGTACGCCCGGTGGCGCAATTGCCGAAGAAAATTGCGCCGACTACGGTCATGATGGACGATGGCGGCGTCTTTGATGTCGTTTCCTTGTCGAGGCATCATTGTTGCAGTTGGCGTCATCAGGCTCGGGATGCTCCGGGGGAAACCCTAGATCTGGGTCTCCCGGATCAGACGATGATGGCGTTCTTAGTAGCGCTTTCCCTCATGGGGGCATTGTTTTGGAGCAAGTGATGATTGGAGGTGACAAGAGGAGGAGCGGTGCTTCATCACACACATTGATGGTGTCGGATCTCGAAGGCATGGCCCTCTGGAGATTAGGCGTTTGATGTGCGATGATGGACTCGCGCAGGAGGTCGACGTTGTCTGGCGTCGTGGTGGCGTCGGCGGCAGTTAGACCGGGCAACATTCATGTAGCAGTACAGCTCTAAAGATGGATCGGTGGCAG